ATAGTAACTTCTTACAGGCTCAACACGATTGATCGAGTTTGGTTCCTACCCAGGGGTTTTTTGGAGAATAATCCACGCGCTTAGCGCCCGCGCCCCAGGATTCGAAGAGAATGTTCGGTTACCAAGACAATGAATGCGGATCGAGTCATAAAGTAAATGTGTTTCCAGGCTTTGTACAAGAAATATATAATATATTGACCAGAAACGAGGAAGATCTACATCAATGTTAGTAATTCAACTTTATTTAACAAAAATCTAACTTTTAATTAGTCGAAACCCATGTTTCCTGTACGGCGAGGTTAGAGAAAACTACAGAGCTCAACCGTTTATCTTAAAGTGAAAAAAAGTGAAAGGAACCCGACGTAAATAGTACAAAAAATTGTTCTTTTTTACAACGAATGCTGCCTTCCGGATTGAAACACAAGAAAGTGCATGGAGAAAATTAGAAGTACTTATTTCAACTTAGTTTATACAATTGTTTGAAGTTGACCGCGACTTTGTCAGGTGTGTGGAAATGCACTCTAAAATGTTAACCACATTGGTAGATGTGACAAGCAATTTTAGTCGCTCATCATTTGAACCCAGAGGTTTTTGAAAAGCTGTAGAGTTCTTTTATGTTGATAAATTGACCATGTGAACGAAATCCTATATGAGATTGTCCTTTCAATAACTAACAAAAGTGTTCCTGATAGCGGCCTTCCAATTCCGTCTTTTAAACTGCCACATTTAGGCGGAAATCTAAGTAATAACTATTTCGTATACTCAAGAAAATTTGAGATAGGATGTTTGCAGGTTGCTAAGGCCCGGTTCAGACGCCGAACTTTTCATGAGCCGAACCTAATTCGAATTAAGGCCGACCCAAATTATTTAGACCGGCTAAAGTGATTCAGACGCCGATCGTAATTCCAGCCGAACTAAATTCAGAAGACGAAAAATGCGCATTTCGGTCAAACTGATTACAAAATACGTTGTAAGAATTTCTGTATTTGGTTCGGTACATGAAAAGTTCGGCGTCTGAATTAAAGGCGTTCCAAAGTCGATCCAAAAGCGAAATTCCCGGCCGGGCTAGGCGAAAAGAACGGCTGAGCCGTTCCAAATTGAAACAGGCGTTCCTAATTGATTCAGACGCCGAACTTTTCATGTACTTAATTCAATGTATTAGGTTCGGCTCATGAAAAGTACGGCGTCTGAACCGGGCCTAAATGTTGCTTTTTGAAGTTAACAAATACTGTAAAGATTCAAAATGACTAAAAGGGCCCGCTGTAGAACTGTGACTGTCACTTGGAGGCGGGAACGTAAAGTAACATCACGTTTTTGCAAAAAAGTAAGAATATACTATTTTTTCAGTGTTTAAAAATTGAATATTTGGCACAAATAGGATTTTTATGTTTCATGCCGATTCACGTTTAATATCCTAAGCTTCAAGTCACGTTGCATCTTCTCTCTTACGTAAGAATATGCCATAAGTATAACCTAACATAACAATTATTCCTTATAGAGTTTATCTCATATTTTATCTGGGCGACGCCCAATCAGGCGACTACGGCGGACCACCTTTTTTAGACCCATTTGGCTATCGCTCTACTGCCATTCTGACTTGACGTCCGACAAGTGCAGCTTACATTGTCATGCCCGCCTCCTCACCTCGCATTTCCTCGATTTTTTCTTAGATTTTAGTTTTTTCTTGGGCGTTTTGATTGCCCTCACCTTTACTTGTCCAGTTACTTTTTCTCCTATGGAATAAATTGTTAGTGATTTAAATTGTTATTTTTCTGTTAAAAGCAGCTTTGGGGATTCCCCCATAGCCATTAACTCCATGAGGTGTGGGACTGTTTGATTATTACCAGACCAGTAGACGAGCTCGATCAATGCAGCACTGAATAAATAGCAGTGAGGTGTATCAAAGTGGACAAGAAGGCATGAAAACATAAATGCTTTTTATAGCACTTTTATACGTAACACAATCAAAATATGAGAATAAAACAATGCTTTAGTTCAAAACCGAAAAATGTTTACTTAACGAAAGCACCGCGAATAAGGATGAAGATTACACCCGTTTGTTTGTTTGTCCATATTTAAATGTGAAGGTGTTGACTGTCCACTAAGACAAAATGTGTCTGTGATATATAGAGATGGCCATTGTTGCGAGGTGTTCTGAAGTGGTAGAAGTTCGACTATAGGAGGATTATTGTACATGTTTAAATGTTCTTGAACGGGGTTACATCTTATTGCAGCCCTTTTCTCAAAAAGCAGCCGTAACGAATAGGATCAGAGTATTTTGTACGTGGTTGCTGTTTTTAGTCAATTTATTTTTCTTCTCATCTGTGACAGAACTTTCTTCTGACAAGGACTTAAAACAAATTTTGGAAGACGATATCACAGAAACAGGGTATTCTGCTGATGGTGAAACGTCATCCTCTAGTTCAGAGAAAGGGATTTTAGATTCCGACGATGAGTTAAACAAGACAGGCGCTTGGAAAGGTAAGGAAAAAACGATCGCCATACTGAAAAAGTCAAAGAACGGCCAAAAAAATCATCAGGCGGCTTGGAAACTAAAATTTCGAGGAATGTTTTTGGACTTTTAACATTTAGGGCATGACTTTTTCGTGATTTCAAGCCCAAGACAAGAATTGAGACTAGCTAGCCGTAAAAGGGAACACGACCAAGTCGGCATGATCACATGTCTAAGTAACATTTTATCTCCAGTGTCAGGAAATAATGTTTTTAAAAGCCTCCCCTTGGGCATGACTCAGAAACTGTCAGCAACTGTGGACATTTCTGGTACGTTTTCAGTTAGGTTAGCATGCATGGGGTTATCGTCAATAATTTACCCTCTAGTAATGGTAGAGAGGGTGGTTCCAGTGGGAGTGGTTTTGCATTTGAATCGGCATGCGGCAGAAATTTGCACTGCGTGTACTGTCTCTAGTATTGTCTTAAGCTAGCATTAAACAAAACTGAGTGCAAGGCTGGCAGTACGACAAAGACCTGATTTGTTTGGGGCCTCAAATAAATCAGCCCTTTGCCGTATTGCCAGCCTTGCATTTAGTTTTGTTTAAAACCCACTTCAAGTGACGTCAGGCGCTAGCATCTCTACATTAGAGATCCGGCAAGAAGGTACCAGTCAGTTTTATTAACGCGTTGAAAGGACCTCTGTATTCCAGGATTCTTCTCTTAAGCTAGCGAGACCTATGTTTAAATGCAGGAAGCGCTAATCAAAGATTAATAATGAGCGTTCGTGCTGTGAATTTTTTTAAAGGGGAGGGGCTTTAGTTGGTAAAATGCTGAGGATGTGCGAATTAAATAACGTTGCTGAGAAGGGTGCAGATGGTGTTTATTTTGAGAGGTGTAAAGAAATGTTTTGCCCAAGGTCATTGAAATATTTATTTTATTTCTGTCAAGTGCGAAAGTGTAATATTACAAGGTCGATCACAGTCAGTTTGTGGTAGCTTGAATTTTTACCTAAAGCTAGAAATACGTGTATCGCAGAAACTCGCGAGGCTTTAGGGTGGGTGGCCCATCAGATGCTGGGAACGGTACGGATGCAGAGAAATAGAGTAAATAGTGTAACTGACATATAGTCCATCTCCTTTGGTCGAAACAGTTTGGATCCCAGTCCCCTCACTGTAAAAAAGAATAAGTGAAATGGTATGTATGCCAGAGGAGGGAGGATGCGTGAATAACATTTCTCAAGCGAGGTTACTCTTCTTCCGACCTGCTACGAAACTTAGTGTCGCGAGTTGCACACACAAGACCGTATGCCCTTAGAACGGGAGAAACTGTTTCTGTGCCTGCCTCCTCAAGAACTAACAGAGTTGGAAATTTTTGCACCAACAAATACCAGAATCACGTTTAAAATACCGAAATGTGATATGTCTTAACATTAACAGTTATATTTACGTGTCATAATAACGAAGTGTTTGTATGTAATTAACGACCCGCCTTGTAATTCAGTTTATGCTGCAAAAAGGTTGAATAAACGATAATTATTATTATTATTATTATTATTGTTATTATTATGTTGTAGTGGTTACAGATTGTTTAGGGTGGGACCCCCCCCCCCAGAAAAGTTAAATAGGTCATGTGTTTACCATATTTCACATTCCTGAATATTGTCCAACGGAAATTCGTGGTTTGCAACCACGTGACGGGTTAGCCATGTTAGGGGTCAAAAGAAGACCACCAACATGGCCACTGTGACGTCACATGTAAACCGGCAATGGGTGTAAATGAGTGACTGCAGGGTAATATCCACTGGAATTTGCCTAGTTTCTGGTCACAATCAAAACTGCCAACGTACAGGCGATTTGGACTCAGATTTGTCAAAGATGTCTAATAGCCGGGGATTAGCCGGGGGTTAGCTAGGGGGAGGGGGGAATGGGCAGATTGAAATTGACTGGTACGTTAGGCCTGAAAAGATTGTACACTTACCTGAAAGTGTGTCGATTGTCTTCTTGTATTATTCTTCTGACTAAGAATTGTTGAACTATGTTATGAGATTAAGTTTATTTTGGGCGAAAAGTAAGTGGAAGGTTTGTTAAATGATTACTTACCGTGAGATATAGGTCCGTAAAATTGAATAATGGACTAAAGGTGCTCGTATCGAAGTGCGGTAACTTCTGCTAACCTTTGTTTTTGTTGGAGTCTTTCCTGTTTATTGCTTGCTCTTTCCAATTAATTCTAGTCTTTGAGAGGACATCCAATGCTAATTTCTGTAAGGAGTGCACTCTCGAAATAGCAACAAAACTACTTTCTGCAGCTTTTTCTCACTTACCTAGGTCCACCACAACTTGAGGTAATATTTGACCTTGCCATTTGTGAATAGTCATGGCATATCACCCTCTCAGTGGCAGCTGCTGTCTAGAAAGTCTCTGCACGTCACTTTCCCATTCAAATAGGTGTGGTGGTATGGGGACAGTCTTGGGGTTTGTTGCTCAAAAAGCGGGCCTGTGTAGTTTGCTCACTGTCGAAGGGCTGCAATGGGTCTGCAAGGTGGAGGGCGATCAGGATGAGAGTAAATCTTCCACCACACTAGTGATGCCATTACACAGCCCGACGTCCTGCCAAGGGTTGCCTGTAAGCATAATCGCAGCACCCCGTGCAAGAAACATTACAGCATCCAGGCCACCAGGATCATCCAATGTGGCATTCTTTGCATTTCTACCTAAATGAAGAGCAGATATACGAGTTATTGGTGATCCAAGGTTCTTGAGTTTCTCAAAGTCGTACTTTGCCACACTGAGCTTGTCAAAATATAATCGCGGTGCATCTATGACGTTACTCATGTTAACATACTGTGGTGTCCTCTGACAGACTGTCATCCAGTCATCGTGAATGGTTTGACCATATCGTAAGCGAAGGAGAACTGCTCGAAATTGTTCTGCCTCAGGATTGTTTCCAGCCTGACGAATATTTTCCGATAGCATAACAATTGTTTCAAAAAGACTATAAATGGAATGCCCATGCTGTGCGAGTAAAGAACTGAACTGGGATGGGAAAGCATAAACAGGCTTATTTGCAACAGGTGGTAGCTGTGCAAAATTTCCAGGGAACATAACAGAAATCCCTCCAAAAGGTTCATAAAGTTCGCATGTTGCTTGTCATAGACGCTTATCGACCCAAGCCAGTGTCTGCTGACCAAGCATTGACATTTCATCCGTAATAAGGTAGTGCTTTCCGGAGAAACGAAGTTGCAGACGTTGCAATGCTGTTCCTCGTAAGTCATTACTATTATGATTACGAACTGGTAGCTGTAATGATGATGAAAATGATAATAATTGTTATAATAATAATAATAATAGTAATAATAATAATCGAATATTTACCTAGGATAACCCTTCAGTACCAAGTACTGTTATCAATGGGGTCCTGCTGACTAAACATTAAAAACCTAATAAATAAGAATAAACAAAAATATAAAAAGGAAACATGTACTAGGTTAAAAAAAGGGTTAAAAACTACAATAAAAGTTACAAGGAAAAATTGTCCAGAAGAATTAATAGAATTAATTTTTCTTAAACTTAATAGCAGTGAATTAAAAAGCAAGGCACCTAAGAAATAAAAACAACGGCGCACTAAACTCACTTTCTCCTTTGGTAGTTTTGCTGCTTCCCCATTGTTTCTAGTGTTCAAAGAATTATAGTGAAATCGTTGAAAATAATTGCTGAATGCGAAACATGTAGTTCCATTAAGGCAGTCAAAAACAAAGCAGCACGTTTTCTTTTGCAAAAAGTTGTCAATTGTTAAAAATCGAAGATTGCAGTTCTTCGGACTGCATTTCGGGGTAATGACTTCGAGGCTTCGTTTCTCAATGGAGCGGATTATGTGTTTGCGGGACTCTGACCATCCAAGACTATTATAGCCGCAATACGTAAATATTGGCATAATCATTGCTGACTGTAAAGTATATCCTTCTATGTTGTAACCTGCCAAACCAGTGGTGCCCGAGAGTATACAGTAACATTGGCTCTCCAGTGTTGCGGAAGTTGATTCTCTCATCGTTTGGCTCTGTTGTAAGTGTTGCTTTGACTCTTAGCCTGGGTGATTTCCTCTACAGTTAATTCACGGTCTTCACTCTTGGCTGGTCTGATAAGTTCGAAGTCGATAGGAGATTCATCCTGACTATCCTTTGGAAAATTAAATCGACATGTTGATTGCTGCTTGGGTTTAATCTTAATGTAGTATGCTGTGCTACACTTTGTATGGCGCTGCACTGAATTGACAAGGGCTGTGTAGTCTGTATCTAAATTCTCTACATTTTCAATTGATATTGCTGATGGATGTGATAAGGGAACGGTCCAGTTGTTCTGTGGAAGTACATCATTAATAGTTGTTACCAGCCAATCAGCATACGCTATTACAGTTGCTTGTGCTTGATGACTTGCTTGTATCTGAAGTTGGGAGTCGTTAGCCATCTGGTGGTAACTTGGATGTTGTTTGTGGAGGCGTAAAATTTGCTCCAACTTCCAACCCTGGACTGCTGTCTTTACAAGGTTGCAAAGGCTTGGGTCGTTGGATAGCTTTGCACACCCATGCGCATGAATACTGCCTCGTGCCACTCAAAGCAAAGACATTTCCATTCTGAATACAAACTTCATGTAACTGTGAAACAGTAAGCGTCTGTGATGTGAGGATTATCAATGACAGCCCTTATTCGGACAGAAGGAATTGCATTGTTTTGGCTCTTGTGGCAGTTTGTGTAAATTTGGCCAATAGTTATCAGCAGCACTGAAAGTAAGGGAAAATGTGGGAGCCCCTTTCTAGGCTATATTAGTGCCTCAAGTTCCTGGTAACGCAAATACCAGTAATGGTTTGTGCCTTGTATTTTAGCAACGTAACGCTGGACACAATTCATGAGCTGGTTTGCTGACATCTAGCCTACCATTTCTGGGAGTTCCTCCATCTTCTGGGTTTTGAGTAAGATAAATATGCGCTTCTGACAACAATTGATGGCGTTGTTTCATGTTCAGTGCCCAATGTGGGAATGGAGGGTGTGATGCAAATCGTCATGCAAAGGTTCCATTCATTGATATGTCTGCATACTTGATTAGGTGTTTGAAACCATCTGTTAAAGAAACTTCACGAAGGCGCGTATGCTTGGTAGGGTCCCCTTTATCATAAGGAAATAGTGCTGGAAAAGCATTGAAGCCAAGCCCTCCGTCCGAAAAAACGGGAAACTCCTATCAAGGTACACAGAAAATACTTTCTATTGTTCAGATGTTTATAATTTAGCTCCGAAATTGGATAATTCCCCTTAAATTGTCAAGATTACTTGTCACGCATGACGGAAGAAAGTTGTTCCGGGTAGGCGAGTTATCCCTAGCAGAGCGTTTACAAGGCAGATAGGGTGACCCTCTTGCTAGGGTAACCCTACCTGCCTTGTTGACTCGTCGTGCAAAAAAAGAAGAAATGTGCAAGTGCTAGGGTAACCTTGCTAGGGTAATCCTAGCACCAGGTTTACCCTCCCTCCTTGTTAACAGGGCCTTAAGCATTCAAACCTAGGAAGAGTTAAACCTTGTTTTGTAGGCCAAGTTTCCTTACACGTAACACATTGGCGGTGTTCTTAACTGTTCATAATGCAGTGAGATTTGGCCATCTCACTCTGAACCTATTCCTGCTGGTGTAAAGGATTATCGGCTGTCCTTCATGCGTTGGAAATATATTCCTCACGAGTATTTGGGAGATCGTGTAATTCTTGCTGCCTCTCATTGTGTCGAACAGCATCATTTTGTCTGTAAACCTCCAGTCGGCAGCGTCTCTCCTAATCGGTTTCGTTCTGAATTCTCTTCACATTATTCTGTAGCTGCCGCTGTAGTCGTTGTTGTCTTTCTTCATCGGTTTCGTTCTGAATTCTGTTGGCTGTATATTCTCAAGCAGTTTGTTTTCGATGTTCCTTCTCCTCAGTGGTTTTGAATACCCCTTTCTATTGGCGTTGTTTTGGCGAAGACAAGACTTGAGGAGCAATAGATGGCGCAGTGGTGAGAGCGCTTGTTTCTCACCAATGTGCCCGGGTTCAAATCCCGGCGTCGACGCTACATGTGGGTTGAGTTTGTTTTTGGTTCTCTCCTTTGCTCCGAGAGGTTTTTCTCCAGGAACTCCGGTTTTCCCCTCTCCTCAAAAACCCACATTTCCAAATTCCAATTCGACCAGGAATCAGGTAGACGAAGAACCACTTTGTGGATGTGCTACCTCGAAATCATTATTTATTTATTTATTTGTTTTTTTATTTGGTCTCGTTGTTCCGGGGTTTCATTACTTAAAAGCCCTGAATTACTTACATTATTTACATTTAATGTACACCTACCTTGGTCATATTTCCTGTGATATTCCAGTCTCCTGTTCCTTTGTTCCTCTGTCTCTTGTTGAAGGCGTTGCCTTTATTGTGCTAAGTGATGTTTTCTCTGCTCCGCGGTTTCTTGTTTTCGTCGTCTTCTTCGTTGTTCGTGCTGAATTTCAAGCCGCCGTTCTCGCTTAAGAGGAGTTTCGGTAGAAAATCTTCCCCGGCGAGGATTTGCAGCCCCTTGTGCTTGCCGCTCTGTGTCATTTGCGTTAGAAATCTCTCGTGAATCACCCACAGTAAATGTCGTTTCCTGACGTCACTTACTAGATGACGTCACGGCGGACACCTAGGATGGGGCGTTCGATTTTGCAGCTGGTTTATAAACTCGCTTCATGAGAATAAAATCTGCATACCAAATCAGAAGTTGTATACATAAAAAGGAGAACTGTATTTAATTTGTAATTGTGTCAATCAAACAACAATTATATTTGATTTAAACAATGGCATTCATATTACCAAAGTCATCTATCTCTCCAAAGAGGATTCTGAATGTTGGCTTATGTTATTTGCTCAAGTGTACAAAATTTTTTTATTGATAGATTTAAGAAAATAAAAACCTGTTTCAAATTTTAGGCTAAACTGTTTCTCTTATAGAGGGGGCTTAACTGGCAAATTTTAGCCTAACAGGTTCTTAAAAGTCGCGGGCTTTTACTGTTGCTAAAATAAAATCGTTTTTTTTTTTTTATCAAGAGCTCTAGAGGTCTTGTCTTGCTTTTGTTTTGATGAGGTGGGTGGTGACAATTACAGACAAGTAAATGGAAATACTCAAAAAGGCAGCCCTTAGCTGAGAGCTAATACTTCGGTTTCGTCACATTTCACAGCTAGCAATTTACCCTCACTAGGGTTGAGTCCGAATCATAAGATGAGTGAGTTTGACATACACAATTATAAGCTTCCCTACAGCATTGGTGTTAAATGGAAAGACCTTGCACGAGCCCTTGGGTACTTTGAACCACGTATTGACGCAATTGAAGAGGAAAAATGTCACTGTGCAAAGGAATGCTGTATTGAGATTCTGGTGTTATGGATGAATCGGAAGGGAGACGAAGCTACTGCTGCGAGATTAGCTGATGCTTTAAGGAGTATAGGACTGAAAAACCTGGCTGACATTTTGATATATCCAATCGATCCAAGCCAGGTAATTATGCTACTAAATTAACTTACATTAATCGACTACTAATGAATCAAAACGAAACAGAGTAAAGCTATTATTTTCGTCTCTATAGACAAATAAAAAAAACGTAAAACAAATAACGTGGCTGATTAAAGGTCATTGTAGTTTAAGTTAACGATTACTGCTACTGCACCTTTATGTAGTCGATGACGTCATCCACTTGAACTACAGCAATACTTCAGGGTTTGTTTTAATGATTGTTGTTTTCGGGGATTACAAAATTTGAACTAGAAAAGCAAACATCAACTCTGGAGGGTGTAATCAAAACAGTTAACTGATCTTTGTAGCACCGTTCAATAATACTTCTTAAGATAAATAACTATGTGTCTTGTCATTTATAAGTTTAAGCTCTTAACTGGGGTTAATGAGCCCTAAGGGAGTACTAGTTCTTTCCTCACTTGTCCCTAGTGTACTCTACTCTCCTCACCCTTGCAGTCAAGGCTTGTGCAGTAGTCAATAGCTCATTGTTTAGCTCAAAGTACTTTTACTTTTACAATGTTAAAGTGGTTGCCAAAGCTTCCAGTAATTTTCCACAATATCACATGACTCTCACCTGTCTCGCCTTATGTAAACCCCTCATACCATTAGTCGGCCACATTTCAGCTTTGTTCTTCAAGCAAGTGCCTACTCGCACTCTTTAAGATTGTATTTTTCTCTCCGTGTACGTATCATGCCGAAACAACGCAAATCTCGAAGCAGCCAACGTACTACGGTTCCATCTACCACGGCTCAGTCAAATGGCCGTGCAAACTCTGCAGATGTAGTACAGACAGTACAAATGACGCAGTACGCACAAATGCCGACCGAAACACTACGTTTACTTTTGTCCCAGCGCCGCCTGGTACAATCAGGGCCACGGCAGCAGCTCATCGCTCGCCTCCAAGCGAACGATTCTCAGGACTCCACATCGCCACCTACCGGCCCAGCGACCATGCCGGATCAGCAATTGGCCTCCATGATCGCTTCTATCGTGGAGCAAAAACTGGCAACTTTAAACTCCGCGAGCAACTCGCTGTCGAGCTCAACATCTGGCGTCGTTCAGCCATCTGTCCAACAATCCGCTCAGCAACATTTGCCAGGCGTTACCAGCCTCGCACCAGATCCCTCTCTCCCACCGGTCCGCAATGGCGGACAACAACAGATTCCGTCCTCTCTGGATTTCTCGCTGTCCTCCTCTCAGCAAGATTTGAATTTCGGAACACCGGAAGACGCAGCCCTTCTGCACACCAACTACAGAGTCCCTTCTATCGCCAGCCATCTCTCCAACAGCTGCATCGCGGCCATAACAAACGGTGAGTACGTGGACCTTGCTAGCCTTCTTCCTTTTTCGTCTCTCCTACGAGACCACGTTACCGCTAATTCCCAGCTTAAACTACAAGTAGGAAACGAGGGCCTTACTATACCCCTCCCATCTCAGGCTAAGCGCCCCAAAATTACTGGGATCGACCGATGGCTCGACGCCTTTGCCATTTACTCGTCTGTACTCCTCTCCTCTTACCCATCCCGGGAGGTGGACCTCTTCGCCTACCAGCAACTGATACGTGAGTCAGCCCGTAAGTTCCCCGGTATGGCATGGTATTTGTACGATATGGAATTTCGCCGAAGGGCCTCTCACAACCTTTCCATTAACTGGGGTCAAAGGGATGTTCAGTTGCACCTAGACACCTTTACTGGCGTCCCAAAAGCCATACTTTGTAAGGCCTGCAGCAGCTCGGATCATGTAACCGATTCCTGCCCCCTTTCCCCCAGGTCTACGGACTCTTCAGGGCCCAAACGTGGTGACCTCTGCTTCAACTTCAACAAAGGGGTTCCCTGCGCCCGCACCCCCTGCCCCTACACTCACCAACGCAACAAGCCTGGATGCACTGCAGCCCACCCAGGAAAGGACCACCCTGACTCCTCAATCTCTGGACCCACCCAGTCAAAGACTAGCCGCTCAAGCCATTCCACCCGAAGCCGCAATTGAATACCTTTCTAAGCTGTCCCCTACCACCCCTATTGACCTTTCCCAACTTGCCCTTTATTTGCATGATCACCCTGACCGTGCATCTGTTGATGCCGTCCTTACCGGCCTCTCCCAGGGTTTTAGAATTGGTTTCCAGGGTCCTCGGGTTCCTAAGGAATACCCCAACCTCATTTCTGCCAGGCAAAATCCACATATCGTAAGCACCAATCTCCTGAAAGAGTTACAGCTTGGTCACACCGCTGGCCCATTCGTTTCTCCCCCTTTTCCCAATTTTCAGGTTTATCCCATCGGGGTTGTTCCAAAAAAGCACTCCACCGAGTGGAGAACCATTTTTCACCTTTCCTTTCCCAAACATCAAACCACTAGCGTCAATTCCCACATAAGCCCAACCGACTACTCCTTACACTACATTACAATAGATACTGCCATCTCTATCATTCAGAACATTGGTCAAGGGTGCTTTATGTCCAAGTTGGACATCAAGTCAGCCTTCCGCAATATCCCAGTACACCCATCCGACTGGGAGCTCCTCGGTATGAAATGGAACGGCCTGTATTTCTTCGATACGGTGCTCCCCTTTGGATTACGATCAGCACCCTATCTTTTTGACCAATTTTCCTGCATGATTGAATGGATAATTAAAAATAAGCTAGGTATCCCTAACGTGATCCACATCCTGGATGACTTTTTCTTTGTCACCAGGCCCCCTAGGTCAGACTGCCTTACAGCCCTTTGCAAAATCCTTTGTCTTTTCAGTGAACTCAATATCCCTGTTGCCCCCGGTAAAACTTTTGCTCCCACCACCACGTTAGAATTTATGGGTATTCTCCTTGACTCCACAAGAATGGAAGCTCGCCTTCCCTTGGACAAACTAATCCGTGCTAAACAGGCCCTTCAACAGTGGTTATACCGTAAATCTGCCACTTTGAAGGAACTTCAGTCCCTGATTGGTACCCTACAATTTGCCTGCAGGGTTGTTGCCCCGGGCCGGGCTTTTCTGCAAAGAATAATAAGTTTAACAAAGGGCATCACTAACTCTCGCTGGCACATTAAATTGAATGGGGAGTTCCGCAAAGACATTTCCATGTGGTTAAACTTCCTTAACCATTGGAATGGAGTTAGCCTTTTCTTAGGGGGTGATATTCTCTCCTCGCCTGACCTGCAATTATTTACGAACGCCTCTGGGTCCCATGGGTATGGTGGCTATCTCAATGGGGAATGGTTTCAGGCTACCTGGCTCCCTCAACACCTCCTTAACCCCACCATGGGTATCAGCATTGATTGGCAGGAACTGTTTGCATTTTACATTGCCTGCTACCTTTGGGGCCCTTCCTGGTCAGGCAAACATATTTGTATGTGGTGCGATAACTTGCCAGTTGTCTCCATCATCAACTCCAAACGCTCTAAGTCCCCTACGATCATGGACCTCGTACGAGCTGTTACAATTCTTTAGAACAAAACTTTTCGTTTACTGCTAGACATATCCCTGGACTAGATAGTTCAATAGCTGATTCTTTGTCCCGTTTTCAGATGGACCGCTTCCGTCACCTGGCTCCCAACGCCTCCCCCTCCCCCTGCGTCATCCCTCCATCAGCGACATCAATTTAACAGCTTCTGTTTATCGCTACTTTGGTGCGTCCCTTGCCCCAGCCACCAAACGTTCTTATAGTGTCGGTAAAAACTATTTCATTTCCTTCTGCCTTATGCAAGGGTTAATTAGCCCCTCTACACCCCTTCTCCCCGCATCTGAAATTACCCTGATTTATTTTGTCTCCCACTTAGCCAAAACCGTTTCCTACAATACCGTTAAGCTATACCTGTTTGCCGTTCAAGAACCCATAGGCAATACAATTTCCCCTTAAAACTCCCAAAAATGTTTAGACTCCAGAAGGTCCTTAATGGGATCAAACGTTCCCAAACCCCGGTCAAATTAGATCGTTACCCAATTACAATCCAAATCCTGCAGTCTATTTTCAACTCTTACCAACCGCACTTGAGTTGTGACCTTAATTACATTATGCTCTGGGCAGCCTTCACCTTAGCCCTTTTCGGTTTTTTACGTTCAAGCGAATTTACCTGCAATGACAAAGTCTTTGATCAAGAAACTCACCTTTGCTTTAAGGATGTCACCTTTGTCCCTAACATTGAATCCCCCAATTACATGCTAGTCCTCATTAAACGGTCCAAAACAGATCCCTTCCGCCATGGTTGCACCCTAACCCTAGCAAGGTCCACTACCTCCATCTGTGCTGTTATGGCTATGAAAGATTATGTGTTACAATGCCAACCATCATCAGCAGGCCCGCTGTTCACCTTTACTAGTGGCAAGTGGCTCACCCGAACTTCTCTTACTCATGAACTCCGTGACGTCCTGCAGCACTGCGGCATACAACCTCAACACTATTTCTCACATAGCTTCCGTATTGGCGCCGCGACCACTGCAGCTGCTGCAGGGATTCCTGCCTGGTTAATCAAGGTATTAGGCCGCTGGTCTTCTGACTGTTATGAACATTACATAAGAACTCCTCAAGAAACACTGCTAACTATCCCTAAACAACTGTCAATGAACTGCAGTACTAATTGTAGGTTAGACCGTTCTTTGTTGTCTACCTGATGACTATTATTATGATTACTATGTACTCTAATTATGTTTCTTACTATTTTAATCAGTAAGGCTGTTAGGTTTTTCTCCTTATCCTAGACCTCCATTTTAAAATACTTGTGCAAACCAAACAAGGCGAAACGGTTTTTCGACCCCCCCCCCCGAGGGTTTTCCATGCCAATATAGTATATTATTTCTTCCCCATGTGGCAGTTGGTATCCCAGCCAACGTCCACACAATTTACTGTGGGGTGATTGTGTTCCCCCATTCTTGACCAGAATATCTTGGGCTCACACAATCGTGGCAGGGAAGTGCACCCTGGGCTGCACTTTACCCCACAGTATGTGGGATAGCCCTCCTTGGCAATAGGTCCGGATTGCTTACTCCAAGATGGCACAACTCACCATCTGACCTATTCTCCTTCCAGAAGGGCACCCCTCTTCTGGTCCACCCTATGTTACACTCTAATTTAGGGTTGCCTCTAGAGACACCGCTACTCTAGGGGGTCCTCCTAGGGACACCGCTACCCTAGGGGGCATAGGCTCTGCCTTCCCTGCCACCCAAATTTTGCCAAATTATAGTGATTAATACAATATAATTAAATAACAAAATAAATAGATGAATGGAGAATCTGTGTTCTTCCTTCGTTAGCTTCACAAGCCTTGCAGGGGTGGGGGGAGGAGTAATCATGGTTACCCTCAGTTGCCCATGCCCCTCTCCTCGGCATGCGAATATTTTCTGCGGCCCTCCCCTTTCTGTGTCACTGACCCTTAGGGACTCATTAATTATAAGTTTAAGCTCTTAACTGGGGTTAATGAGCCCTAAGGGAGTACTAGTTCTTTCCTCACTTGTCCCTAGTGTACTCTACTCTCCTCACCCTTGCAGTCAAGGCTTGTGCAGTAGTCAATAGCTCATTGTTTAGCTCAAAGTACTTTTACTTTTACAATGTTAAAGTGGTTGCCAAAGCTTCCCGTAATTTTCCACAATATCACATGACTCTCACCTGTCTCGCCTTATGTAAACCCCTCATACCATTAGTCGGCCACATTTCAGCTTTGTTCTTCAAGCAAGTGCCTACTCGCACTCTTTAAGATTGTATTTTTCCCACCCTCCCACCCAACTGGAAGCTTTGTCTTCTCTAATTGTTATGGCTGTGCTTTGTCCTGCAAATGTTTACGATATACTATTTCATTGTATTCTCTTTAAGTTTGGTTATTTTATCTCAGAGTTCGTTACATTATACTACTCGTTACGTTGCCACTTTTTTTTTTTATATATATATATATATATAAAATAGCTCGATATCAAAACTACATCCTAGGTGTTTCTACATTTTATAATTCTTAGGCTTACTTATTGGTGACAGGGAAGTGCACCCTGGGCTGCACTTTACCCCACAGTATGTGGGATAGCCCTCCTTGGCAATAGGTCCGGATTGCTTACTCCAAGATGGCACAACTCACCATCTGACCTATTCTCCTTCCAGAAGGGCACCCCTCTTCTGGTCCACCCTATGTTACACTCTAATGTAGGGTTGCCTCTAGAGACACCGCTACTCTAGGGGGTCCTCCTAGGGACACCGCTACCCTAGGAGGCATGGGCTCTGCCTTCCCTGCCACACAAATTTTGCCAAATTATAGTGATTAATACAATATAATTAAATAACAAAATAAATAGATAAATGGAGAATCTGTGTTCTTCCTTCTTTAGCTTCACAAGCCTTGCAGGGGTGGGGGGGAGGAGTAATCATGGTTACCCTCAGTTGCCCATGCCCCTCTCCTCGGCATGCGAATTTTTTCTGCGGCCCTCCCCTTTCTGTGTCACTGACCCTTAGGGACTCATTAAGCTACTTTTATTAGCCCGTACAACAAGCTCCATTTTCTCTAAAATTCGGAATCATTGCACTTTTACTCCCAAAAAGAGGAAAAAATATATTTTTTATTTATTTAGAACGAAGTCAACTTTTTTTCGGGATAGAAATCGGATAATTATCGTTATAAATTGGCATTTGTTTGCTATATTAATGCTGGATATGGTATACAAGAGAAATAAAAGCTTCTTGTCATGAATTATTTTAGTTGCCAAGTTCACAACTTTGCTTCAGACCCACTCTTCGTACTTGTTCCGTTTTTGCTAGTTGAGGGTTTTTGTTGGAAGTAAGAGACTAAGGATGGATAACTCACATAGCAGAACAGATTATTAAACAAAATATCTTTTTTTACTTGTTCATGTTTTTTTTTTCTTTTTTTTTATGATAACAGAACCTGCAATTGCGTGCCACAGTAGAATTTAAAGATAGAGGAGAAGAACGCGAACAAGTGATTAGCCAGGTATGCATGAAATCGTCCAGCTACTTCTGCTAGTTTGGCGTGTACTGTTTAGTAAAAAAAAACATCAATTTTTTTCCCTTTTTCTTTACAGGAGCAGGTTTTGAGAATGGGAAACAAATCTGAAGAGTTAAAAGAACAGCTTTTAACTGCCAGCCAAAAGTTCCAAGAGAAAGAGGAAGAAGTAAGTCAGAAATCATTGCCGTGCAAATGATGAGCCTGTCGTGCGTCTTAGGCCCTGTTAAATAGGAGACTAACTTGTCCCAGAAAGATGATCACACTCTCAAGCCGAGTCAACTTTAGTGAGCGATTATATGAGAAAAAAGTGAAACCCCTTTGCCTGAGCTAAGAGCGCTCGCGCATGCTCTGAATTGGCTGGACTGGAAGAGCCAAAGTAAAGTTCGTCAAGTTTTGAAAGGAAATGTGGGAACTGTTTGACTCGCGTAACTTAACCATTAACTAGCAAAATTAGAATACATGACAATTCCACAAATCATGATCAGGAAAACGTGACTATTGAAGTTGATTTTATCTACAAGCCGCCTTAGGAGACGAATTATTTTTAAAGTACGTGCACAATAAAGGAAAGATTTGCCAGCCTTTCCGTCGGCAAAAGACATTTGGCGTTTTTACAAAATAGTAATAACGTTAATTTGGTTTCCTTTGTTTTACAATCTACAGATTTTACGATTGAGAAAAGTCATTGATGAACTTAAAGAAGAACTTTGTAATGTCAAGCGTGAGTCAAACGATACCAGCCAAGAGGCAAGTCAACATTGTTGACACGCATAATTAATGGGAACATTGTAATAAACAACCTAATGTTAATCATTTTATCTGGTTCGGCGTCTTCTAGTTTAAGATGGGAGCAAAAAACAGCTGAGAACTGCGAAAAATCGCAACTAACGGGAAAAATCATCAGACGAGCAATTTTTCGCAATTTTCGCAACTAGCTTTCATAAAACCGCCAACCTTGCGATTTTTGCGATTTCTCGCAAACACACAAAAAATCGCAATTTTTGCAGTTGCGTGCAAACCTAGACATAACTGGCCCAAGTTATGCTTCTAGTCCTAAATGCCAAAGATACTGGCGGCAACTCGGGGGAAGGGGGCACTAAAAATAAGTTTGAGAAGGGTATAACAAGACATCTTATTTTCCCTTTGTTTCTCTACTATTGCAGCCCAATCTCTGCCTCATGAGGTTTCGCGTTTGGCGAATTTTAGTTGCCTATTTGAACGCTTTCTTCTCGAACGCTTTCTTCTTCGTCATTTTCTTATGCACTTTTCGATTTCTAATGTGTTTTAGGACGGCGCTTTCTTCCCGGATGCGGACCAAGCAGATAAAGAACATCGCATTGGGGCTCAACTAAAAAATATTAACGAGCAGCTCAAAACATACGTTACATCTCCTTTGCAAGCGCCGGTAGTAAAACAAGATCAACTACGATTAGCAGTCAGACTTGACCTTTTGATTAGACTGAGCCAGAACCTGCAAGAGTTATACACTGAGACACAAGGAATGATTTCGGAAGCTGCTAAATGTAGCGAAGACTTAAGAAGAGACTATTATGACCTTGCCTATCACGGGCTCAGGGCGGAACACTTTGAATTGGTCCACAAAGTAGAAGATTTGGAATCTGCGCAAGAGGATATGTCCAAAGAAGAAAGAAAAGAATACGAAAGACTTCAGTCATATCAGAACGACAGACAAAGGCAAGTCGAGGCATTGGATAAAGTGTGGAGACATCTTTTTTCTCCGGTATGTGAACAGACTAGAAATTGTTTCCCAAGCTTGAAAAATAGGCAAAAAAGGTTAAGCGGTATCATTCCGTAGAGTAAGCTTAGTGCAAGTCCCAAAGAACAAAAGGCTTCTGTCGTATCGGTTCGCACTTGCAATACCCGGCGAACAGAGGCCGTTCGATCTTCCTTGATAAAACTTATCTAGAGGGATAGAAGGGTCTCTACTCGCAGGGTATGCTTGCTGTCATTTCAAAGAACATCAGCTCGGGCCAGTTGCACAAACTGTTGTAACAAGTCTGTTGTAACAAATAATCTTTGACATTTAGTGTTGCTAGTTGCGTTACATCTGACGTTCAGCCAAATCAAACTCTGAATTTTAACGCAAGCCTTTATGGTCACGATGCAAAGCCTCTTGTCAGTTCAGCCAAAGGCTTCTTGACTTTTGTTATTTTTGCAGGTCAATCGCCTTCCTAAAACAGCAGTATCAGATCCTACTGGCAGCAAGTCAAGAGGTGGTAAGAAGGTAAATGCATATAGTCCCGGATATGATCATACACGATCCTACGCGATGTATATATGATACCCATCACAACGTTTCCTCATGAATAATAGTTTTCCAGTTAAAGACACAATGATCATTCTGTTCCTTACTGTCACTTAATTTCGCGAAAAATCATGAGTCATATTTGGCGAGTACAGTCCACCCTCCGGCACTAACGGCCACCTCTTTACTACGGCCACTTTTTTTGTCCCGGCGGACAGTCTATACTTTGACTCTTGTTTGAACCTCACGACAACGGTCACCTCTCTACACCTGCAGCGGCCACTAAAGCGTGTCCCCAACAGCCAAAATAACCTCTCGACAACGTGAGCCGACGTAATGAACTTATAAGAAGA